GCATGGCCTCTGCCGCAGCATCGCTGGATGGACCGTGGCAATGCCATTGTGATGTAAACAAAAGGTTGAGTATTTGTTCAGCATTTCTGCGATGTCTCTACAATCATCATCTACCTCATCCTTTTTCCTTGCATTATCCCCGCTGCTATGGCACTTCCAAACGGCGTGAGCGATAACAGCGTGCGCGTATAGTTTCCTGTAAAGGATATATAATAGTACTATTCGCAGCAAACTAGTGAGCGCACAATTTTCTTGACAGGGAACGAAAGTAAGCCAGATTACTGCTATTGCTGTGTGGCAGAAAAAAAAACGATCCATAACACTCCCGTTGGCCTAAGAGTGTGAAGGCATAGCCAGGGCAGTAATATTATCTGGCGTCTTACTTCCTAATACCAGGATGCAATTCGCAAAGCGTGTTCACTTGTACTAAGTGCAGGATCGCACTTAGTAGTGCAAGGCATGCAACAAAATATATTGCAATGTTTTTTTTTCCGTTATTCTTCTTCTTTAATGCGTAAAGCGGCACTTTGACTAAGCAAGAAATAAAGGGTCGAACACGCACAACATAAAGTTTCACAAAGTTTGGAAGCACAAACAACGAGGGCAAGAACTGAAAGTAATGAGAGTCCTGGAATTCTTGTCCTCGCCTCTTTGTGCCTCCAAATTATGTCAGACCATGCACCAACTAGCCTAACAACGTGTTTTAGTCATCACGTCTTTTGTTTTTTTAACCACAGCTTCGACCTTGAACCGCGTCACGCTAATTCGTCACGCCAATTCGGACATCACTGTGACGCGATGAAATCATATGCACGTTTCGTGAAACTTAATTTATATGCGATGAACTACTTCAAAGCTTATTATTAGCCAATATGAGTTAATTAGCCGGTTGTGCAGTTCGACTTATCAATATAGTTTATATAATGACCACCTCGTACAGAGTTATCCATTTTGATGGAGGCGAAAATGTTGTAGACCCGTGTACTCAGATTTGGGTGCGCGTGGTCGAAATTCGCGGAGCTCTCCACTACGGCGTCTCTCATAATCATATGGTGGTTTCGGGACGTTAAACCCCACATATCCATCAGAGTTATTCATTTCAGGGACTAGAACAGTGCTATAAAACAGGCGCAATTTCTGACGAAAACGTTTTTCTCAGTCTACTGCAAACACAACAGCAAGAACAACTTGCATCGTTTCACGTATAAGTATTTTCCGGCCCCTGAGTTCCCGCGTTAGTGCACGCCATTGAATTAGTCACATGATGTGCACTAACGCAAGAATTCTGAATTACACTTAGAATTACACTATTATGCGTGTGAATGAAACATGCATTATAGAAAATTGATGAGGTTTTGCGTCCTAAAACCACGGTATGAATATGAGAGACGCCGTGGACTTCAGAAATGTCGACCACCTAGGGTTCTTTGTAGTGCAACTTAATCTAAGGTGCATGGGTCTCGCATCATTTTCGGTTCCATCGGGTAATGCGGCCGCCGTGGTCGGGATTCGATTCCGCGACGTGCGGATCCCATAAGCAGGACGAGCAGCATAATGACCAGACCACCGTAACAGGTCATTTGAATATAACATGTGCACATTCAAACGTACGCAGTTCACGTGCCGGGCCAACATCACCTGGTGGTGATGGTTGGGCCCCACAGAGCGAAGTTCAAGACGCCACAGCTTACACAACAGCATGTCTGGTGGTGGTGGTGGTGGTAGTGGTTAGAAGAGGAAAAAGGCCCCTAATTTCTGCAGCCCGGTCGGGAGCACGGCGCAATTCCGTGTCTGCAGGTCTCAGTAGTGGGTTCTTTGCTAACGAAAGCGGTCTCCCGCCTAAAAGCAACTTCCCTCTCCGAAGAACTGCATCGATTTCTCTCTCTCTCTCTCTCTCTCGACAGAACAACTGCGCGCTTGGATCCAGGCAACCGGAGGGGGGACGGAAAAACCAGTTTTTGTCATGCTCGCGTATGCGAGTTGCCCCGCCGTGGTGGTCTAGTGGCTAAGGTACTCGGCTGCTGACCCGCAGGTCGCGGAATCGAATCCCGGCTGCGGCGGCTGCATTTCCGATGGAGGCGGAAATGTTGTAGGGCCGTGTACTCAGATTTGGGTGCACGTTAAAGAACCCCAGGTGGTCAAAATTTCCGGAGCCCTCCACTACGGCGTCTCTCATAATCATATGGTGGTTTTGGGACGTTAAACCCCACATATCAATCAAACAATCAATCAATCAATCAATCGAGTATGCGAGTCGGCGGTCGCAGACGGTCGGACAAGCCCGTCAACCTGGCCCTTTTTTTCGCGTGTGAGCTTCGATGGCGCTCGCATGCGATGCTGGGTCGATATCAATTTTTTTTCGACTGCCCTCGTCCCATTACAAAAGTCACGTGGGCTAAGGCAAACATTTCAATACCTATTGGTTGCACAGTACACTGCGGTTGATTACGTAACAGCTCGATTTTCCGCAGAGATTGCAGAGCATTGCCCAGCGCGGCCGCATTTAGTCGGTATCCTCGCGTCATGCTCAGAGGGAGCTTAACTGTTCGCTTTGAGGGAATTTTCGATTGTTGTAACCGATGTGGAAGAGCGTGAAGAGCTTCTGTTAGGCCCTTTGCGCCGTTTTCCGCAGCAGCATTCGAGTATTCTGATATTTTCAAATGGAACTGAAAATCACCTAAAATAAAAAAAAACTGACACGATGTATTAAAATCTACGTTTTAGTTTAATTCTCGTGGCAAGAAAACCGAGGTGCGGCGTTAATTGGGCTGAGCAACTTCCTTCGATGCAAGCTCAACAAAAAATGTGCACAAATTGATTTTCACTCAATAGAATCAGACACCACAAGTGTGAGACTGCGCTTTCGGTAATTGCGTGATCACATAAGCAGGTAGAAAAGGTGGTGGTGGCTGTTCATACACGCACGAAAACTTGTTGAACAATGAACGAAAGTAGTGCGACCATAGGCATCTGCCTGGGATTATTCATTAGAGGGGGGGGGGGAGCCTAAGCTTTGTGGCTTCGCAACGCCTCTCCCCCTCCGACCTCGCAGGTGGAGCGCTAATGAAAAAAAAAAAGCCCGCAATGCATGCAAAAAATGACGACGAAGCGATGGCGTCCTGCGCCTCTGTTCCCGCTCTTTCCAGGGTAAATGTGAGAAGCAACCAGTTCTTCAAATGGATGAAACAAAGGGAATTTTAAGGGCTCGTTTTTTTTCTTTTCTAGACGCAACAATTATTAGAACTAACAAACCAAGCAGTCTTCTTGAGTATCGGGCGCGTTATTCCAAGTTCTCGGGTTTGGTATCTGCCAGAAGCGTAGCTAGAAATATTTCCGAAGGGGGGGGGGGGGGACCCCTGGGTGCGCCACTGGTCCCTGCCCGCGGCAACTTATCTTTTCGTCTGCTTTCCTTTCTTCACATTTACATGAGAAATTCTACAAATATCATTCCTTGGCTTTCTTGTCTGTTATAATAATTCTTAGTTTTCTGAATGCAACATCAGGGGTCTTCTGCAGTCATTATCGGTTAAAAAAAGACAAGCCAACAAAAAGAAAGCATGCATGGCCATGACCCTGCCCACTAAATACTGAAAGTACACGTCCGACTGAGTAATGGTATGGGCAGACTCTGGTATAGGGCAAATTTGGCGCCCCCAGTTCCCCCATTATGGGATTTGGGGAGGCGGCCGCACTCTTTGCCCCTTCCCATCCGGGGGAACCTTCCACATTTAAGAGTGTGACGGGGAGGGATTGTCCCTAACTGAAAACAAAAGAAAACTTTTTTTCTTGGTTGATAGGGGTAATTTATTCCCCAAATTTCGTCGGTGACTGTGATAGAAAAAGGCAGTGGAGGCCCATATTCTGTAACTCTGATGGCAATGAATCAGTTGATCTATCCAGCGCTTTGTACAGAGCCTTACCCAATTTCGTTGGTTTTAATGAAGCTCGACAACCAGGCTCATGGCCATGGGGGTTGGGCCCTAGCCTGAAATTCTGATGAAGGCGGGTGTTCTACCGAAAACAAGTAATCAAAATAAGTGTTTTTCTAAAATAGTCAACGTCTTCAGCTAGTACCCTCTTTTCCCCACCCCCCAAAAAATTTCCGTTACGGGCATATTGACAGCTATAACTTAAAGCGTTTAGTCTAATTTTAATTCGTGTTGCGCCTTTATGTATTCTAATGCCAATCTTAATGTCTCCTGTACACTGGCTCTTAGACTACTTGCGCGTTGTTCTTATACTTACGATGTATGACTTCGACACGCATACAGTCGAGCACGTTATGAAGGTTATCGTGCCAGCGCCCTCCTGCGTAACCTCCCAGGGACCGGAACAGTGAAAATAAAGATTACGAAAAGATTACGCATTCTTCTCTTCCTCTTTGGCTGTTCCGTGTCATAACAATCGCCCCTAAGGTGAACACCCTTTCTCTTTATTACAATTCTTCCGTTCATTGCGATCAAGTGTCACCTTCGTGCGAGCGATTACGAAATTGCTGGGAAAGATGTCTGAAAGCTGGATCTTGGCACTACTACGTTTAAAGAGATTCCTCAGACGGGAGTTATCGAGGCTTGGGAACAGTAAAAAGAGTGAGTGAAGCTTCCGTGTGCCAACCTCTCCTCGAAAGGGTATTCTGGGACGTGGTGCTGTTGTAGTTTTTGGTCGACGCTCGCGTGATAACCTTCAAATCGCACTAGACTGTGCGTTCTTCGATAGATTAGTGTTGATATATTAATGCGATATATTAATGCTTAAGGTTCGGATTTCGTCATGCAAGATATATACAACAAAACAAGTAGGCATCTTAAGTCCACATTTTTCATGGCGCTCACACGGGTTATTCTCAAACATGTTTATTGAAATCTTCGGCCGCATGACAATGTTTCTGCATGGCGAGACTGAATCCAACGAAGGGGCGGCTGCCACTCGCTGCACGCCACCCGCTGGCGCTTAAGGTGACCGCAGCCATGCAGATGCGCCTTTTTTTTTTTTGCGATTCACATTACAAAAAAAAAAACAAAGAAAAGCGATAAAAAAAAGGACAGAAATGGGATATTAAAGTTTAGACCACAACGGTGGAATTTGTTTCTGCCCGTTTGCTACGTCGCCAGCATCCGGGTGTGACTCTTGCTTTGCGGGTCTCCTCCGTCCCAGGAGTTTTCGGAAAAGAAGCTTGTCAACGGCGGCAGTCGGAGCTTCACAAGCGAGGAATGCCATGTACCCCAGAATGTTGCTCCAGATGAACACACCAAAGAACAGGGTCACCTAAAATTATACAAAAAAATCTTTTTGTTTTGCTTTTCATTCAGAAGTACCAATCAACACGACTCACATGGGCCCCTCTTTTTCGCAGTTTACAGCGGTTAAAACTCTACGTGTTTTATCGCTATAGCAACGTTCATGGCTGATTTCATGAGCAAACGTTAAATTTAGCTGTGAACGTATATGAATGAATCAACTTTATCAAATTGAAGTTCAACAGTTTCCTTCGGCTGAAGTGGGGGAAGAGGGAATTTCTACCCGGCTTTAGATGATGATGGTGGTGCCTCAGGTTACAGCTCGAAGTCCTTAGACCCGGGCGGCATCTTCGGCCTGCCGGACGGCCCACAGCTGGTTGGTCAAAAAGCAAGAAATTCGCGAGGCTTTCTCTCACCCTCTTGCTAACGTGTAATAATAATAACGTTTGGCGTTTTACCTCCTAAAACTAATATGATTATGAGGGACGCCATAGTGGAGAGGCCGCGGAAATTTCGACCACCACGAGGTCCTTCAACGTACACGTAAGTATAGGGGCACGAGATTACAGCATCTCGCCGCCAACGAAATGCGGTTGCCGCGGCCTCTTCCCCACTTTTGGAGCGTGAATTCATTGTAGCGAGAGCTTTGACAAAATTTGCGTGAAGCTTCGAATCTAACTGCAGGTTACAATTCTGCAGCACCTTCTGAACTCTACTAGAAAGCAGTGAGGAAGAAATAGCCAGAAAATCTTTCATGAGTCGGGGAGGAGGGCACGACCCTTTTTATCTGTGTTCATGTGTCTGTTTGTTTGTGTGAACGTATAAATATATACACATACAAAACTTTTAAAAACGGGGGGGGGGGCGTTTGAACTGCCTAAACCACCCATCTGATGAGGCTGCGCCACTGTGGGATGGGCTATACTACAGTACATTATTATATAGTATCTAATACTATGTCATACATAAAGCGGCAAATACAATATTATTATACAGCATCTATCACTATGTCATATCTAGAGTGGCAAGTGAAATCGACTGGTGTAAATTCGTAATTTAAGGTGATTCCAATGCAGGGCTTCACTGACTACTGGTGTTAGGTGCTATAAAACATTTCCGATAGCCTTAAAAATGAAAATGGATACTATTAACCATCTTGCGCCCGGGCGACTCCGTTTTGCCTTACCTTCCGCTTTGTATAGTGTAATGAAGCACAAATGCATGCTTGCACGTCAACCAACACGCATGTGCAACGCTCCCATCACTTATTGCTAGCCTTCTTATATACTCGGCTGCGTTGCTGAATAAATGCTTTTTGTTCTATTCCACTCGTCTGGCTTACATGGTGTCAGAAGTGCGCACGTCAGTTAGTCTCTGCCATGCAGCAAACCTTTCCATGCGACCATTGCATTAAGGCATTACGGGACGAGCGTCCCTCATGCACAAGTCGGAGACAATGACCGGATCATCCCGAACGATGAGTTTCACACTGCTCATCTCGACAACACTTGTGACGTTTGCCATAACTGGAACATCTGAAAAAGTGAGTTCAAACTTTTCGCAATAGCAACGCAGCCGAGTATGTAAGGTGGCTAGCGATAAGCGATGGGAGCGTTGCACATGCGTGTTGGCTGATGTGCAAGCATGTGTGCTCCATTACATCTAGCATCAAATTACCCTTTATTGAACCGGCAAGCCCGCATGGCTTGATCATCGTGAGAAAGCTTTAGTTTCCGAACACATACTCCTAGAAGAAAAATATTCCTTAAGACCTAGGGATTGGTTCGCTTCATTTGCTGCTTTGAGAAATGGTGTAGCCTATAGCGTCGCTTCGCAAAGGAACGCATATGGCGGCTTCTCTGCATTACCACAGTGAAGTAAGACCACAGCAGGCGCTCTCTGGTTGTATGCAGCACCACCATGATGAAGGGGTAGTGTATCAGGTAGACGCCAAAGGAGAGCTTGCCCAGGGGCACAAATATGTCCGAAGAGAGGACTCTGTTAACAAATCCTGCGACACAGAGAGAAAATGTTGAATCAGTCGAAGCCAGAAAGTGCCCCAAGTTGTATACACATGTGCGGAGAACAAAAAGGAGACTTATGAGACGAAAATATTAGTTAGAGAGAGATTGGGTGGGGGGAAGGGGTGTGCAGTGAAATAAACCAGCATATATTGATGGCGATTCATGGCAACACGATTCGCAATCGAGGGCAATCAGGAGTTGATTTCGCCAACATCAAACCTTGATTGATTGATATCGGGTTTAAAGTCCCAAAACCATCATATGATTATGAGAGACGCCGTAGTGGAGGGCTCCGGAAATTTTGACCACATGATGTTCTTTAACGTGCACCCAAATCTGAGCACAAGGGCCTACAAAATGTTCACCTCCATCGGAAGGGCAGCCGCCGCCGCCGCCGAGATTCGATCCCGCGCCCTGCGGGTCAGCAGCCGAGTACCTTAGCCACTAGACCACCGCGGCGGGGCGAACATCAAAGCTCGAGCGGTGAGAGGGAGCTATAATTGCGATTGAGAAACCCGATCACAACTCCAGCGTTCTCTGCGCTACGAAATATTATTCCGCAGGGAAGTATGAAGCATATCTAACTTTGGCGAGTGCGTACGTGTACTGAATTAAACTTGTTCCCCACCCGCTACGTGTCTCTTGGAATACCACGAAGGAATAATGAACAGTGGGAACTAAAAAGTGAAAGTTTGAAAAAAAGCGTAAAAATTGAAATAACGGCAACAGCAGACATTAAAAAACTATTAACTATATTTTCCTGTTGGTTAGATGTACTAATCAACTAACTTATTGATATAGCACAATCACGCGGCTACCGATTATTAAGCTTCTGCCAGGGTGATATTATAAAAATTTATCGAATCCCAGAAAAAAAAAAGCCTTCCCCCTATAGGCCTTACACCGTCAGAAACTTTCTCACTTTTGCGCTGGGGAACTCCACGAAGAAGAGTACGAGAAAGCGCATGTAGAAGAATGGTTAAGGGCGCAAACCCACGTAGACGAAATAATCAAACAAGACAAAAACACCAGCTTCACAGCGAAAGCTGGAAGAGTATCCTTTCTAGAGCCTTTTAAAACACTCTTTGTTTGGGCTACTACTACAAACACACGTTTGGTACTCACTACACCATAAAACATCATAATTTTTTCTTGTATTAAGAAGGCGTTCACGAAGTCATCGTTCGCAATTCTTCGGAAAAGCGGGGTACCAGCTGCACACTTTCAAGGAATTTTGTGCGATTTTTTTTTTATGCTGTGGCTGACGACAATGGAGAATTACTCCTGAAGCTTTTGTAATGAGTTGGAGTACTGGACGACCCACTCGTTACGCTATGCTCATTACGTGACGCCTGGTTGTTGTTCTAAAACGCCTTGTTACTCACATTGACGTGATTTCTCTACCGAAGCCTGCCTATGGGTCAGTTTGCAACATAGTTTCAAGTGCCGGCGTGGCTCACTTAAGGGGAAAAAAACGGAGTGGCTCAGTGGTAGAGTACTGGACTGGCATGCAAGGGACCTGGCTTGGAATTTCACTGAGCCCTTCGTGTTTTTATTTACTTAGTTTTTTTTTCTTATTGTGATAGTGGTTAGTAACATTAACGGTGACGAGGAACAACTACGGTGCCAAAAACGACCCTTGTTATGATCTCATAACAGCTTTCGCTTTTGAAGAAAGGGCACAGGATGTTGCAAGTTGACGCTCTATCTCGTCCCCTTGCCCCACCGCGGTAGGGTAGTGGATAAGGCGCTAAACTGCTGACCCGCAGGTCGTGGTATCGAATCTCGACTGTGGCGGCTGCATTTCCGATGGAGGCAGAAATGCTGCAGGATCGTGTGCTGAGATTTGGGTACACGTTAAAAAAAACTCCAGGTGGTCGAAATTTCCGGAGCTTTTTAATTCGGCGTCTCTCATAATCACATGGGGATTTCGGGAAGTTAAACTCCACAAATTATTATTATTATAATTTTGTACCCTTCTTTTCATCTACATGAATTTGATTCCGTTACCTTTCTACAGCATGAACTAACTCAACTAGTCAAAGAGCACGTTCTAGAAAGCACATGTGCAATAAACGTAAAATTCAGTCGTCTTATGGCATCTACCAACCTGAACATGCAAGCCGATTCATACCACGATAACAGCAAGAAACGCCTTTCAAACGGTTTCTTTCGATTGTTTTACGTCATTTTTTAAGCGGCCTATAATTCATGCAATGTATACTTGCAGTACTTTTGGTTACAGTTTTATTTAAATTACTGCATTTATAGAATCTCAGTATAACCAGTTGAAGCGGGAGGGGGGTAGCTGTTCGCCTCTCCTTGTCACTTCTTCATATGCTCTCATCAGAAAAACGTAGCTGAATTGGAGTGTACAAAATCTTGCGAAGTTCTAGTAGGTGTACACGTGACGCGCAGCGAACAGGCATTAATGACTCGTGCTTCGCGCCTCAACCAACCGCATCGCCGTGTGGATGGTATACGCACCACTGTGGTATACGAATACGAGACATCCTTTAAAATGTTTGACACCAACTGCATTTAAGGGGCATATGTCCAACATTTCAAAATATTATTGTTGCCTAACAGCTTTCTTGTCTTCAGTTTCGATATGTAATCTATCTTTACGAGGTCCACATAAGAACAGCACTTAGTGCGTGTTTGGCTTACATTGTACCAGGTTTTTCAAAGAAAGGCATAAAAGCATATATATTGTGAGCGTGATAAGATATCTAATACAAAACGTGAAAAAGGAAAATATGTATGTTTCAGATTTTCTCCGCTGGTGTTCAATATGAGTAGCATTACATAGTCACAGAATGTTTCACGTGCAATTAGGACGCCTGATAAGTTCCGCTATAGAAGCGTCATAGCTTCACCATGGCATCTAGCAAGCTGACTCCAGTTTTGACGCGTACCATGAACAGTGACAGCTGGAATGATTGAAAAAGAAAACACAAAAGTGACCCTTTACATTTTTTGACGAGATTCGTTGTCGCCAAATTATGAAACATGTTTGATCAAATTGCTCTTCGTGTTGACAATTTTCGTAATTATATATATATATATATATATATATATATATATATATATATATATATATATATATTACTTCCACTATATATATATATATATATATATATATATATATATATATATATATATATATATATATATATATATATATATATATATATATATATATATGTGGGAGTAATAATTCAATGGGCCAGTTAGTCTTCGTGAAGGTATGGGATATGGCACAACGGGAGCGTTGTCAACAAGGATAAATATATTTATTTCCCAACAGTTTCGGGAGGGGTCCTCCCTTCATCAGGGGATGAGTTATACTGACATGAACTTCTAAACTTCGTTGCTGCTGCGTTCCTCTTGCCTTGAAAGATGTTTGCGAGAGTGAGAGGGAACTAAAAAAAAAACAAAAAAAGAGAGAAAAAACGAAAAAAGAAAAAGAAAGAAAAGAAAGGAAGTAAAAAGAGGAAGAACCACTGTCAACACTGAGAACGAAACCAACTGTCCGTGTACGTCTACATACGGTTCTTATCACGTGCTGTTCAGTTCTCGACGTGTGTCGGGCCACCCGGCGTGCGACGTGCGGCGTATATATATATATAAGTGTGCGGTACTGGTTCTTTTTTAGGTTTTGCAATCGCGGGACTTTTTTTTTTCAGTTCTCTCGGAGTTAAAATTTAATACTTCATGTTGACTTGATAAGAACTGCCTGCCTGCCTGCCTGCCTGCCTGCCTGCCCGCCCGCCCGTCCGTCCGTCCGTTCGTCATTTGGCAGAGCAGTGCGATTAAACAAATGCAAACAAAAACAAGTCAGTGTTCTCACCTCCTCGTCCAGTGGCGCAAGCCATAGTGAACCACGAGAGGAACAATGACCACAGGATGCGGTCGAGGAAGGCCATGAACAGTTTCACACCTTCCGAGGTGGGATTCGTTTTTATGTACCACGGATACTTCATGAACACAGTACAGACTGCGCAGAAAGCTGCCACAAACCATCCCACGGCATTCATGACCTGGACAAAAGACAGTTGGGTGGATATTCGTCATGTTCTATGCTCACCAAACACACCAAATGCAAAACATATGCCGTTCATTAAGCATTAGAGATGACTTGTCGTTTTGCCTGACCATATTCTTCTGCGACTCGTCTTTTTTTTTTGAAAGTTAGTCACGTGAGCTTCCGGTGTGACGTAACGCAGCTGACGAATTTCCTGCGCGTCCAGTGCACTCACTTTCGGTATCACCTAAATCTGGGATATGAATTTCGATTATTATCTCAAATTACGAGTTTTTAGCAAATAACGAAAAGGGCTTAACATCATCTGTCATGTCCTACAACTCGCCCACGTAAACAACGGTTCTTTAGTTAAAAATTAGTTACCGACTTTTTGCTGATTATTTATTTGGATGTAACTTTAGGTGCAGTGACTTTTTTCCACCTCCACCTAAAGTTCGTTCGCGAAGACGTTTTTTAGTATTAATATTTTTATTAAGAATCTTGATTTTCTTTAAAAAACACTCTGGATTAGCTCGAATTTTACACAAAAGTGGTAGACTTTCAACTAATATTTTTAAAATGTATGAACAATTAGTAACACAGTTTAGAGCTTGGTATAATGTGTCATTTTACTCGACTTTGTGTGCTATTAGGTGGAGTTTACAGAATGCATGTAACATTTTTTTTTCATGCATCGATATGCAGTTATAAGCTTAGTTCTTAAGCTTTTTTTTAATATTGTGATGTTTAAGACATAACGAAAGTGAGACCCAAGGTATATTAAAACTTTCTTACAGTCGCAATAAATATTGCCTTTCCTTTCAACACAACGAATCTCAGTGAATTCTATTTAGTGGTTTCCGCGAGTAAAGAATTTTCCATTCCCATGCGTTTGGTTAAGAGCTCCCAAGCCAAAACTTATTCGCGGTATTTTTATTTCATTTCTCTTTTAAAGAACACTAAGTAACGTTGTCAGAACCTATATGCTCAACCATCGCACAAGGTACAAGAGGCGTCAAAGGCTGTGTCTTGCCCATGGAATGAATTTTACAACTGACCGTCTTCTCTTCCGGCTCGGTGAATACTACTATGCAATGTGCATACTGTTACCACATCATCGCGAATTTTTACTGCATATGGACGATCCGTGGATCTTTAGGGAGCAATAGGGACAAAATTAAATATAAAGAGGGCAGACCAATCGACCTTCGACGCACTCCTCCAGCCGGCTACTTCGCGATGGCCATGTGAAAGCAAGCAAGAGGGCATTAGAAACAATAGAACTCATTTTGTTAGATTTCCAGGCATTCATAGAAGGAAGATCTTGTTTCCAAAGTACAATATTCTCAACTTCACAAGTACCCTTAGGTCTCGGGAAAATACTTGTACTTGTGCCTTCTCCATCTGAGCCATGTGAAATTTTCGAATATCTCTGCATGCTCCTCAAGGACATTACCTTAAGTGATCAACTGTAAACTGGCATACATCACAACCAGTACGTTCCAACAAGAACCTGCCACAATCACACATGTATTTTCTTCTTTTTTTTTCTTTTCCTGCCCTCCTTTTTTTATGGGGGCTATCTGTCTTTATTCCCCTTCCACAACCCAGAATAGCATGAGACGCCTTCATACATATACGCAGGCAAATTTCACAATTCTTCAATAAAGGGATTTTCTCTCTTTCTCTCCAACATACAAGCTAAAAAGAAAGAAAGAAAGAAATGAAGAAAGAGAGAAAGAAAGAAAGAAACGAAGGAAGAAAGAAAGGAAGAAAGAAACTGCTTTAACACAATGACAATGGCGCAGGTACAGCGAGCACGTGGGAAGAATGCGAAGCAGATATCGTCAAGCATTGGAGAGAACGGCGCGAACTTTGAACAAAACGCCGAGGTTTCACTGCAAAAGCGAGGTGCGTATTAGACAATATATGCACGAAACGGTGTTTCACAGTTTTTGCAACCGTAGGCTGTATATGTAAATTTAAGTAAACAGCCACTTACTAATTAACAAGTGGGCATTGTGTTGGAAATGTGCACACATGCATCAAGAGATATCACGCTATGGTAACGAACGCTCGCCGTCACACTCCTGACGTGATTCACAGTGAAAAAAAAAAGAGCAACCGCCTTGCACTGCCTCTCGTATCAATATGACATATTGTTGGCCTGTATAGTTGGTCATACCAATATATTGTTTCAATGCGTCTTCAAAACTTGATATGACATGACCCCCATCGTTGTAGGCACGCAAAAAGGCAGCGCTTACGAAGCAGGATGCAAAGTGGCACTTGCAAGAGGCAACTCGCAAGAGGCAAGTATCGTTTAATTAACAGCCGGCTTACCCTGGAAATCTTACGATTCTTGAAGTCTTCCAGAACAAGGAGGGTCATACAGCCACTGAAGTAGCACACCGCATGGTAGAAAGGCCACATGTAGTATTTATTCATGGTCTCAAACAATGTTCTGCAAAAGCAACAATGAGCTAGCGTGTTACAACAAATAATGATAAAGCGCTTACACTATACAATATCCTCCTACGAAGGAGACTTAATGAGCAGAAAACGGCTCTGAACGATACGTTGAAAACTAAAAAAGATTGTTGATCTACCCTCGAAGGATTCAAGAACTCCTTCCAGTAATATCACTTCATGTTTGGAGAGCTGCGATCAAGGACGACTACAAAAAGAGCAGCGAAATGGGTCAGCTGAGGTAAATATGCATTTTTGCAATCTCTTTTCGCATGAAAGCAACTGCTTGTCATCATTTGATACAGCGACAGACATGTACATATTGTGTAAAGACTCCGACTTTCAAAGCAAGAGCACAATTTACAAACAAACTTCAGGTGGCAAAAAATATAACGTAAATATAAGACTTTGCTTTTCGTCACACCGGTGAACGCTCGACGAAAGAAGCTTAACGTTAATTCGAAAGAGTTTCAAAAATGCAGCAAACGCATAATATATACGACTTACAGCACAGTAGCATAATTTAATAAACCTCTGATCTTACGGGGGAGTTTACGAAACTGGAAAAGTAAAACGTTACGTCAAACAACCCAATTATTGTGAGAGGCAAGGGATACAAAGTGTTTATGCATGCAGTGTATATTAGTCAATGTAAGTCTATAACCCACGCAACTGCACATCTACAACGCGAAGCAGCATGAAGTCTTTCAAAAAATAAAGCACAATATACATGCAGGAACTACTGTAGACAAAAGTGCATGTATCTTCAATTATGATAGGTATTGCGAATGATATTCGGTGGTGGCAAACCTGTTTGTACAGTCCGCACAAGTTCACTGTATCGTACATAAAAAAAAATTACTTATTCACCTGACTTCGCAGGCATGCGAGTATAATCGACTAGCTACGGTGTACATCATGCTTACGTTCTTGTGAATGCAGGGTAGATCATGAAGGGCGTGATGTCCGGATTGGTCGCTTGCCACGTGGCGATGGCGCACCCCAGTAAAGACAGCCCGATGAAGGCTGCAACGGCCAGCCTTTTCTGACTGCGGAGAGGTTCATGCGCAGGGCGTTAGATGACACACTCATTAGACAACATGCTCACGACATGAATCGAGGGGCGGGCTGCTAGCGTATATGCTCCCGCAGCCTGTGGACACTGTTGACAACAGACATGTTCGCTATAGTTATCCGTTCAATGAATAACGCTTGTCACGAAGAACACTCGCGAGTGCTAGCTGCTTCCCTGTCTAGTATTCTCTCAGGAAATATACGCGCTTTAAGCCACTAATTCTTCAACCCTGACGTTTTTCTTTAACTGCAAAGCTGTTCATTTTTTGTTCACTTGGCCTGCAGACCTTGCGAATATGTCTCCCACTTTGTTCGCTGAAATCTGCTCTTGAGAACAGCAGTAACTTACGGAGGTCATATTTAGGGAAAACATATTACGACACATAGAGCTGTTCCCGCCGTGGTGGTCTAGTGGCTAAGGTATTCAGCTGCTGACTCGCAGGTCACGGGATCGAATGCCGACTGCGGCGGCTGCATTTTAGATGGAGGCGAAAATGCTGTAGGCCCGTGTGCTGAAATTTGGGTGCACGTTAAAGAACCCCAGGTGGTCGAAATTTCCGGAGCCTTCCACAAAGGCGTCTCTCATAATCAATTCGTGGTTTTGGGACATGCAGGTCAGCAGCCGAGTACCTTAACCACTGAACCACCGCGGCTGGGTGGTTTTACGTTATGAGCAATTGTGTTCAGGCGACACAATATATTTGGCTTTATGTATGCACATGTATAGTTGTATTGGTAACATAAAGTCAACCATGAAACTTATGCGTCGTGTACTGTTGGACATTATTGTGTCAACGTACGCATTCTGTTTTCTGTCACGTTTCCTGGTATTTTGCTCTGTTGTCCTTCCGCATTTGTTGTGATTTTTCTAAGCGACAAGGAGTGACTGGTGCCGTGCGAAAACGGCAGCCTATCCGGCCGATAATTTCAATTTAAGACAGACACTAAAGAACAAAAACCTTTGTGAAATTAGGTCAACCACTTTTATATGGGTGTTTGTGTGCTAGAACTTTTTGGTGTATTCCCGCCTCATGGCGCGGGCCACCGAAACAGAGCCACCGGAATTTATTGCTCTTGCGCAGCTGGCGGCTCGCCGGGACCGAAGTGACAGAGAAATGCGCTGCTCTTACTAACACCTCGAGCGTCATCCATAGGAGAAGGAGTTACCGTGACAACATAATTACCACCTGTCGAGGCTACAAAGGGACCATGAGGCGTTGTCAGAACGATTTAGGGCTACGTTTTATGGGCAGGGGTGGCGTTAGAACTTTTGTATTATTGGGGAAGGGCGGGGGGGGGGGGGGCACTCACGACAAGCAAGTTTCTTCAGGGAGACTGGGAACGTATGCGTTGGTTTTTACTTTGCTTGCTCTTAGGGGGGGGGGGGGAATTCAAGAGGGAGCAGGCAAAAATTGGGTGGGTGGGGGGGGGGAGGCTTCCCGCTGGCGCGCCGCGTCTGTTTTCAGTGGGACTCGTTTAAGAAGGCGTTTGACTCAAATGCCACATCTCATTGCATATAAGTGTAGTTTTTGCGACATTGCATTGATGGTTCGCATGTGCCTGTAAAGAGAATTACGATTAATCGCTTGCTGCAACTCAAAGTGCGGGAAGGGAAGAAAAAAAAATACAGAGGTCGCGGAAGAGAGTGGTGTCCAACTTTCAAGAGGTAGGTAAGGCTCAGCCTTGTGTCGAAAATAAGTATATATTGCAATCACTGATGCTGAACACGAGCCTCGCCATATCAGTATCAGAACTTATCGTTGCGCTATCATCATAAGCTTGCATGGACTCACCCTTTGAACAGCAAAAGAACCAGAAGGGCGACGATGAAAAGCTGGAAATCTGCAGATATGTACCATAGGTGTATCATCACAGACTGTGAACAAAGAAATAAATAAATATGCAAGTAAATAAATAAACATGGTGACTGCAACATGTATTTATATTTGATAGGAAATATAGCTGTTCTTTTGTTTTCTTCGAAGAACAATGAAGAGAAATATACGCTAACTTCCAATTATGAATTTCAGGTTGGGAGAAGGGGAGGTTCAAGAATACTTCATGTGTGTTTGTGCGAGGGTTTGTTTGTGTGCGTGTATATATATATATATATATATATATATATATATATATATATATATATATATATATATATATATATATATATATATATATATGCACGTAAAATTTAAAAAAAAAGGGGGGGGGGGTGTTTGACCCTGCCCTGAATACGCCAGTGGCATGCGTATATAGTTTGAAAATTTTTCGTCATGATATGCTTCTACAAAACAAAAAGAACTGATGTAGGAAAAGCAGTGAGGTTAACCGAAAGATATGCTTTTTCTGTGCTACCATGCACAGCAGTGTTCGCCTCAACATCTTCGAGTGGCGCCTTCTTGCGTGTGACGTCATCGCTGTTGCTCAGGTGCCCAATGCGGCTGCTGGGCGTTGCCGACCGGTGTGCGAATTTAAAGCATATGACGAGTGACGCGTGGTGTCATTCGAATAAGTGAAGTGATCGTTACAGGAAACAATTAACCTTTGATTAGATGCAAGTTTTAGGCAGCTGCTGTGTAAGTGCGTCGTCAGTACTTCAGGCAATCGGGAGGTTTTTACCATGAGGGGAAAGAGGATGCACGACGGGGTTGTGAAATATTAAGAGGCTTTCTCACGTTCTCTTGTGCAGCATAATTTAATCTCTACGTTGATACATCAACGTTTTCTGGCTCGTTTACGGTCGTCTGAAAGTGCACCAAGGAGAAACCGCCTGGACATACTAACGTAAATATATACAAGGCTTTCGCATTGCGAAGTCGTAACATGATCGTATCTAGAATAAAACAGTGTAAATCACTCTCAACAGTCGAGTCTTATTACAGAATAGAGCATTCATTGTTCAAAGTAATATTCCATCTTGTCACAGAGAGATAAGAATAGCAAAGATCGGCCAAAGGGTCCAGAAAGAGGGTGAAAAAGAGCACTCTTTCTCCTCGCCTTGGCATTTTACAACAATATTCCCCAATTTTTACCAAAGCGTACTATCGGCGTGTGGCGGCTTGGGCTAGTTGGTTTGGCATGATAGATATAGCGCGAGAACAAAACGACGACACAGAGACAAGAAGGACACTGGCGCTCGTGTCCTTCGTGTCCTTCTTGTCTCTGTGTCGTCGTTTTGTTCTCGCGCTATAACTATTGTCATCCTATCGGCGTCAAATAAAATGCGGAGTGCATGGACCATTAACAACGGTATAAAGCGCCCCGGCTGCGGTTGTCTAGTGGCTAAAGTACTCGGCTGCTGACCCACAGGTCGCGGGCTCGAATCCCGGCTGCAGCGGCTGCATTTCCCACGGAGGCGGAAATGTAGGCCCGTGTGCTCAGATTTGGGTGCACGTTAAGGAACCCCAGGTGGTCGAAATTTCCGGAGCCCTCTACTACGGCGTCTCTCATAATCATATGGTGGTTTTGGGACGTTAAACCACACATGTCAATCAACAACGGTATAGTGCGCTCCGTACAGTCGATCACATTTGACATGCACGCACATCCAGCTAGGCAGCATTACAATGTACCACCAGCAGCATTGCGGATTGAAATCATGAACGTGCATGGTGCACGAGCAGCGAACATGCCATGAGCGCATCTCGAATCGGGAAGCTGCAAACTGCACCACGTGCGCCGCTGCTCAAATTTCATTCGGCGCTGATAGAACGTGTAAAAAGATTTAATATACGGGGCAAACTCGTCAATTTCACGCTGGTTGTCCGCAATAATTCACTTGACGGTGAACTTATCAATTTATTTTGTCGGTAAACGTTTTGTACACACTTTTGGACATGACTATACAATTGGAAACGAAATGAAAATTTTCGTCCAAGTCAAGTGATGCTTATATACAACGCCTAATTTTGCGAATAAGCCCTCAAATTGGTCGCGCTTCACTTTCAAAGAAGCGCAGAGTCTCGTTAGCTGGCTTGCCGAGACGCTCGCGCTTTCGGTAAGATATTTCAACGTCACCTATAGCCCAATGATTTACAATATACCAACTCGGGTAATGATTCTGACTGCGATGGCTATAGAAATTACATTAAATGTAAACGTTTCTTGACCTCCTGTGATGCTGGCAGCCATCTGTACAGAACTAACACAAGACAATACAATTACTAATCGAGGATCGCGGCGCCACACGAGTGAACTATAATGAAAATTCCACTGTTCTAGCCGGAGGCTATGTCAGACGCCAATAGCTGCATCCCCCGGATTGCATCTCCGGAGGGCCGTTCGCAGCGCCGCCATCGTTAGCGCGAATAGAGTGTGTATTTCAGTTGCGCAAAATGTACCAGTGATCTCGGAGATGGACCACGACAAAGTGGCTGGGTCGAGCTGGCATAGCCGAAGCTGGATAAACGGGTCTGCTAGTCGCCATGATGGAATGGCCAAAAAGATGTCTGCTGTCAAGTTCCGTGTTGTACTTCGGATATACCCCCTCCCCTTATCAATGGTGTCACGGGGAGACGCCAATATATATATATATAAGGGAAAGAAGTGTATACCTAAGGGCTCGTTTTTTCCGTGTTTTAACACAATATTAATGAGATCTAACAGACAGTAATGCCAAGGATTGTACAGGGGAAGTTATTAGAACCAATGGAATGTAAATAAGAAGAAAGAAGAAAGTAAAGTGGATGAAAAATAACCAGCCGTGAGCAGGAATCGAACCTACGACCTTCGAATAACGCGTTCGATGCTCTAACCACTGAGCTATCACAGCGGCCTTCCCTTCATCCACTTTTTTTGGGGGGGTTTATATGTGAATTTAGAAGTAGGAGTGGCAGTCAGCGCCATCTATATATATATATATATATATATATATATATATATATATATATATATATATACATATATATATATATATATATATATATATATATATATATATATATATATATATATATATATATATATATACATATATATATATATGTATATATATATATAACCTCCAGCAGAATAGAGCAATCTCGATAACTGACGTCGTCATGGCGATCCAGCTTAAGCGCTGAGACAACGAAACATAATCTTCCTCTCAGCCTGACAAATACCTGCCCTCGGGTAGGATTCATCTTCTTCCCTAACTTTTATATATTTATGACCGCGTATAAACGTTAATGCTGCCAATACGCGGCACATCAATGATTTGGTATACGCCACCTCCCTTTACCCCAGGAGTGCACCAACGCTATACATTCGAGCTCTCAATATATTAAATTTCGAGTGCTCTTACCCTTTCGGTCATGCCAAAGAAATTTCTTATCGGAATGATCAGATGCCACCAGTTTTCCGCAATTTCTTCGTCGAACTTCTGGAAGAACGATTTCGCATCCGGTCCGGTTACGAAACGTGGAAGCACAAAGATGCACGTGATGACAAAGAAGACTGGAAGGCAAGTCCTGCGGCGAGGATGAAAAGAGAACGTGACAAAAGACAAACTGTGAGCGTATCCACGCCTCTCCAAGGGCCATCTCACTCGCGGCGCAGCGCTGGTAATCTTAAAGTTCAGCGTTCCTCAGCTGAATAACGGGGGTTCGATCGCCAGTCAGAGAGGCTGCTGCATTTATTTTCAGATGATGTAAGCAACATGTGCGTGCGCATATAGTAGCGTCACAGGGTTACTTTTAATCGCGATGGTTCGGATGACATTCTTTGACCGCGTGACTATATCATTCATGCAAGCTGCGGAAGGAAGCCAGTCACCACTGAGAAATTTGATCCTGATCGGGCTTTAATCGTGATCAGCAGTGCACCATGTGACATCGGCACTAAGTTCACGTTAATGAACACCAGGTTGTTGAAGTTATTCTGGAGTCCGCCCACAATGACGTGCCTAAGGGCCACGTCATTCTTATGGCTGGTACAATCCGACGATTGCTTTAGACGTTTTTTTTTTTAAGCGTTTAACTTGCAGGCTTGCAGTTGTGCGCCTAAGAATAGTTCTATATATTTAGCGGGTAAAACAAAATACAATGATGACTGCGCCAATACAGAATCTCACGGCCTATTATGGTGTCTCCCTGTCTGGCGGCTTCTCACAATGTCGTGTGTGAATTACGAACTTTTCTTTCCTACAAGCGGGCTGCAGCTAACTTAACTTACAACTTCTTTTGCCTAATAAGCTTACAAATATGGACGATATAAAAACATAGACTCAACATATACTATGGAGCCTGTATAGATTGTTCAACCGTAAACTGGTTTTGTACTTAACTTCATCAGATTGAGCACAGGACCAAGAGACTATACATTAAAGGGACCCAAACTTTTTGAGCATGCTCAGAAAACGCGGTCGATTGGTGGTCGAGGCTCTTGAGAACGCTTGAGCCAAACTTTATAACGCGGCACGTGGCCTGAAATTCACAATTGATTCACAGTTAGCTAGAAATCGCTCTTTCTCCTCTCGACAAATTATCCCATAAACAGAAACGGCGGCGCCACAACACCACAGACCGTGGCAGTTATGATCGGGGCACGCGAATGATGGCCAGTCGGTAGACGGCGCCCGATGAAAATGGAAGTTAATGAAAGAGGCTGCCCAGACGTGGACTAAGCCGTTTTCCTCGGACCCCGTATTTGTCGTCCAACCCCGTGAGCCTTTGTTCACCGCACCTTGTGCTGGGGAGTCACCCGCACGGCGGTAGCGCTCTCACGGTGAGCCAGACTGAGAAATAAGTGGTCGCTGTCGCAACATGGCTCCCAACAAGATAATGTGGCGCCGCGCTGTAACAATACGTGTGGATATACGGCAGAATCGTGTCCACTAACTCCAGACAGCCGACCGGCCGTCTAGACAGGCTCGTTGCCGCATGAAGGTATCTTTTAAGCTGTAGGTCGACGAAATGACGAAGTTTTTCTTGGCCGATGCTCCGAGGATAGCAAAATGTGGGAACGCAGAGGCGGAGACCCATCTCTGAGGAAAGGGCAGTTCTTTGCTCCATTGGTGGAGCATCGTGTAGGGGTTCGTCCCACGAGGCTGTCTCAGATGAGACGGGACGTATTTAATGAAGAGAAATGGAGAGAAGGGGAGCTTGGTGCTCGAGAACGAGATCGGGAAGCGGGACTGTAGAGGTCGTGCTTAGCGCAGACTCTGATCCAAGGTTGATACTACATCGAGAAGTTGGTGTCGATGTGTGGAGTACACGAAGGGCTCGGCAAGTAACGCCGACGTTGATATTAATACAGGCCAGTGCTTACTGTGTGGTTGGTTTAGTGGCCACCCTAGCATTTTTTTGTAAATGAGTATCGGTGTGGAAATAAACCGAAGTTTGCCAGGAAGTGATCAAGCAGTCCAGTCCTTCAACGTGTCGTCGTGATCATCTGAACCATCGGGATTACATCCATCAGCCCAATGTTAACTGCGGCCATTGGCAGATTTAAACGTCGTGTGCTGCATATATAGTTACCGTGGCCGCCTGGGGATGCTGCTATGTGCCCGCACGCTCGCTCACAATCACTGTGAAAGTAAACTGCGCGTTCGAAAAAAAAATGCTGAAGGTCATGGCGCGTGCTAACGAACGGGCGTCGTTACAGACAGTCGCAGACACATCACACCAACGACACTAAGCAAGATGAGTCCTGCTTTTCCTACTCTATGCCCCACTGTGTACACAAATAGAACAATTTCGAGCACATGCTCTGGCCCCGCCCACGCGGGGCACATGTTTTTCTAACCAGTCCTCCTGGGGCAGAGCTCATCGCTCAGCTCAAGGCGGTCAAGAGGGCCTGGGCCGTCGCCGAAGGACTGTGTCTACCGGCCCCGATCTGGGTGGAGCCGCCGGATTGATTGGTGGGGTCTCCGGCACCGTTTTTTTTTTCCTGAGGACCTTAACAAAGTTCATGCCAATTCACTCGTGTCCCCTTTTCATGCAGATGCATGGCTGAAAGTTATGCATCAGCATAGCTCTCAGTTCGCTCGCTCGTACAAGAGGAGAGAGAGGTGCGACAAATTATTTTAACTCCGCAAGTATTTATAAGATTTTAGGGTGTTTTTTTTTTTTGCGGTATAGTCGATTCGAGAGGCAATGAACTCTTCTGATGAAACCATTTGACGAATACTTCGAACAGTGTTGCACGGCACCTTTAATACAAAACACTCCATAATAATGGAGTCAGTGGCTGATGCAGAACAATATTTTATTAATAGAAATGAATCAATTACTGAAGCGGTACCGATGAAATCATTATGTATAGGGCAAATGAAGTTAAGGAGGTTTCTTTTTCTGATTTCTGAAAGAGAGATAATTTTTTTACATGATATGGTGCTGAGTGTGGGTGAAAGATAGGGAACTGTTTCTTTTTTTTATAAAGAACACAATATGAATGTCAAGGCAGAATGACCTAATATAGCACAAACTATTTTTAATATAACAATAATAATTACCTATACATCATTAACTAATATAGCATTAACTAGGTACGTACTCATGTCATTAGGGAACTGCATTTATACTCCAAGCAGAATTCTAGCGTTATCCGTACTGAGCTATGTATTGACTGTTAAAATATAATTTCCAGCAAGGTAAATTAAAATACGACTACATATTTAAAGCAGGATATTTTGCAACCTCCTTATTATCTACCGGTAGCACTTTATAGTAGTCATTCTTTATTGCAGAGAAGTTCATCCCAACACGGAAAAAGGTTTACCGCGACAGTAGGATATATAGAATTAAAAAATATATATTCGAAGCTGTAATACGAGCAGTAGTTTGGCAAAAAAAGAAACATGGCTGATCCCTCGGTCTATAAGAATCGGTTAGACATAAAAGTGAAACGCGTGTTCAGGGAGGCCGTTGGGCGTTTATTGCGCCTTGTTTCGCCACACTACAGCAACAAATTGTGATGTCACGCGAAGAACGGCAGGCAGCTCGAAAACTTACAGCGCGCACCTCAAGCAGAAAGCACGCACGAAATGAGCATATACGCAGGACAAACGCGGACTAACAACTGTCACTGCTCGAACCTTAAAGCACGTTGCTCAAACTGAAAGAGAGAGCCACGAAACTAACGCACAAGTAAACAAGGACGATCCGCGGACTGTCAAATTCTTATTTGTTCGTCATTTCCTAAACGTGGCAGCGGTAGTGGGCGAAGTAACTTTCGTGCTTTCTTTAACCGCTGCAGCCTCAAAGCCAAGTTGCGGTCGAAGCACAAGACGTACGAAGCGCCGCAATCACGAAATCAGCGAGCGCCCGCAGCTAAAGACGTGGTGGCGACGATATTTAGAGCACGCCCAACTTGTATAGCTGTCCTTCAGGTCGCAGGTGGGACGCCCATGCAGTGGCACAGCTTTTTTTTTTTTTTTTGCGTTTTCTCCGAAATATGCTTCTTAATATTTACAGGCGTCATATCCATCACTGAAATACTTCAGCGCAGCCGTGGTGGGTCGCGGCATAAAATATTTTCGATGTTAATAAACATGACGCGCACTATAGTTCGTAAATAGCGTGGTTACCACTGATTTCGCTGGCGAGTTGACGTCGTAGGACGGTCATTCCCCGGTGTGTCGCTTACAGCGCCAGCAGCATACAAAATTTGGAGGACGCTCGAGTTTCGAGCTGATCGCGATAGCGTAATCGGGCCTCGTACGCAACGCCGTCTGAACTGCTAGCCGGCTTCGGTTCTCGGGGCATGCCTCCTCAACTGTAGGGAAGGAGCGACTGTGCGTGTAACAAGTATCCCCGAATGCCTACTGCAAGCACATTTATTAGAGTTGCCCTACGCCATAATCCCTCCTTTTGCAAATCAACGAAGGGTCCACTATACACGTCCGTAAGGCTACACGCGAACCCACGCAGCTGCTCGCTTTGTTGATGCTTTTGCAGCTGATGATTAAACGTCTGAGCGCATTGTAATGGATGGGCCTTTGAAACACCCGCTCGTTGTTCAATTAACATGTTTTCACGCCTGGCACAATTCTACGCTGCCACGCAATACATGTGGTGTGTCAGGGAGACTCCTTCAACTACATGACATTCATAAAACGTTTCTTTTTTTTTTCTTTTGAATTAGTTTCAACAGATATTGTGACTGCGCGGTGAAACATATGCTTGTCACACAGATTTCCTGGGTTCAATCCTGACTCGGACCCGGAAATTTTTATTATTTAGGTAGTTTGAATCTTTTGTCGATTTTTGGGTCACGGACAACATGATTTTTTACTCACAACCAAGGACGCCAACGCCGGAATTCTGCGAAACGAGCTCTTTAACGCTATCGCGTTAAATCGCCGATCGTTTATAACACGGGCTGCACATAATCTGTAAATAGATAGACTACGCTAAATTTTGAGGAAATATGAGTACTTCGCTCTCGTCATACATGTGGTGTGTGTGTCTTCTGCACGCGCAGACAATTCACCGAGAGGAGAGCCTATGATTTTACACATCGAAGACCCTCCCAAAATGAGTGAAAACAGAGCACCTTACCTGATCAACCTTCGATAGATAGCGATTATGAAGACGATGATCCTATTCATATTCCCCTTCTGCTTCGTCACAGCGAGGCACAGTAAAAATCCACTGAAAGGACAGTCGAGAAAAAGTGCAAAGCAAATGTCAACGCCGGAAGTTATCAGATTTTCAGAAGCGCATCGCGTGTAGTCCACACTCATTCAGCCTCTGAATAGGACAGTCGAAGCAAGAGGGAGGTACGAAATCATTTTCAAGTCACAACTGGTAGCTTTGTCTTCGCCAGATATGGTTGTGCTGCGCTTTTCTACGAGCGAGCAAATCTCGATGTGAACTCGCGACCGATTGTCGTTTATGTTTGACGTATATTCAGGCTACATGTGATGTCCGTATGGTTGGCCTATGCTGGCGATTGAGCCCGCCTGTAGATCTGATGCGCTCTATCCCCCCTTCCCCCCCATCTGTCTCTTTTCACATCTTTAATTCCCAACCGCAGTGTGGTAAAGGGTGCGTGCGTCTCGTTAACCTTCATTCTTCTCCTTCATTTTCTCTCTCTTTATCTCGAGTTAACTCAGTCAAGGTTTGTGCAATTACTTTATTGACAATGACAACAATGTGTTACTTTTACTGTTATGTAGGTCCAACCGAATTTCGTGGTTCAGACAGACCTACATAACTGTCGGCAATGGCGTAATTTTTATTCCGTGTTTATTAGAACAGGAGCTTTGGAATATGCGAAATAAAGATTGTCTTGCCCCGCCTATATGCACACGCGCCGAACTGGGGCGCGGGAACGAATGCCATCTTCGGGTTCTTGCCGCGCCGCACTGCGACGGAATGTGGGTGGTGGTAGTGGTTAGAAGATGAGAAAAGACACCTAATTTCTGCAACCCGGTCGGGAGCACGGCGCAGTGCCTAGACGGAATGTTTCCGTCACTCACAGATTCGAACTGCGAGAGCGCTGTTTATCTCGCCGAGTGCTGAAAGTTCTGCAGATACGGCGCTGACGCTGTTGCTTGCTCTGCCCCCCCCCTCCCCCCCCCCAAAAAAAAGAGAGAAAAGGCTATTTGCGTGTGTTCACTTTTCGGAACTCTCACATCTGTTTTCGAATTTGACTTGTGAACACTGTGATTATGCGCTCCAACGACCTGTTTTAAACCTGCAGTTTCCCTTTAAACTACTTGCGCACGCCATCCCCGTGCAGGGTAGCGAATCGGATGCTTACATTAATTTACCACCTTGCCTTGCCTCTTCTTTCATCGCTCCTACATCCCGCACGCAACGAGAAAATGTTACAATAACATTCAGGCATAAGGGCTCTGAATACACGCACTGTTAGCACATGTGTGTTACATGTCAGCGTCACTGTCCGTTCGTGTAATACGCGTTAAGAAGCGAACCTAATTGTCCGGGCTTTCGCTGTTTCGCGAAGTACTTCATGTGTTAGAAAAAAGAATAGGAAAATAAAGGACGTTGCAATGTTGCCGAACGTTTGTTTACTTGCCTGAGGAAAAAGAACGTGTCCACGCTACTGTAGGCAGCCGGCAAAATCAGGTTGTACCATTTGTCGGATACTATCAGCAAGTTTAGCATGCGTGCTGAAATAAATGAAACAAGTACGTCACTTTTTTTTTTAGCCTAAACGTCCTGAAGACTATATATACGTCTTCCAAGGCCGCTTGCCACCCGTATTCTGTAACGCGCTATGATGATGGCCTATGTCAATTTCTAGAAGACCGACGTAAATATAGTGTCTATAGACGTAATCATCAAGAAATGCAACATAACTAAGTACAAGATAAATAATTAGGCAAATGAAATACACGTTACCTTGCACGCCCTCTCCTGTATAGGCCCCAAAATCCCGCAGTATTGGATAATAAATAAATAAAATGTAACCAAATCCACGCAGCTGCCGCTGTCTAATAGAACAGTATTGAGGAGTTGCAAAAACTGCAAGAGAGCTCGCCTGCGCAACAAACATGCATGCACAATGGCGGTTGCCGGGGTGCCTCTCATCTTCGCTAGAAGTGTTACGTGAAGTGTAGCGAGGGCGGGAGGCATCGCTATTGTGCATTGATGCACAACGAGTGGTGGGAGACCCCCGCCCCCCTAACACAGCCAACACAGGAAACACTACGAGGACGGGAGACAATGCCAGTGTGCATTATTGTATTGCGCAACTCCTCTATAAGCTTCCGGACTATTCTTTCATTCCCTCCGGATTTTCAAAAGGAAATAAAAATGAAAAAAAGTAAATTAAGCAGGGTAATAAAACAAAAAGTATCCCAATGAATAAATAGAACGCGGTAAGCCCAAAAGACTGAATGAGTACATCACTGTCATTCAATTTCAATTATATCACTGTGCTGCGTAAAAGTTTGTGTCCGATGTAAAAATTTAGAATAATGATGAGATCGAAAGTGCGCGTCACCCCGCCGCTGTGGTCTAGTGGCTAAGGCACTCGGCTGCTGACCCGCAGGTCGCGGGATGGAATCCCGGCTGCGGCGGCTGCAATTTCGATGGAGGCGGAAATGTTGTAGGCCCGGGTGCTCAGATTTGGGTGCACGTTACCCCAGGTGATCGAAATTTCCGGAGCCCTCCACTGCAGCGTCTCTCATAATCATATGGTGATTTGGGGAATTAAACCCACATAGCAATCAATCGAATCGCGCGTCGATGGTCATACTTTTATAATGGTGGCATTCAGACGACGGACCGAATCCGAATTTGTCATTGGACGTGGATAGGCTAATCGCGGGATGATCCGCCTGCAAGAGCGCATCCACACACGGACGGTGTCCTAGGGAAAACAGCCGGATTACCCTCAACAGCAGAATCGGCGCTCACCTGCGCCGCTGGCAGCAGACCGGTTTGAGAGTATTCAACATGGATGCCCGCAAGAAGCGAAGCTTGGCTGCGATGTCTGTCGTGTTGTGACAAATGAACAAGTAGTGTTATTTTTCAGGAGAAAAGGGAGTTGCTAGCAGGATATTCTTTCAACTACATTATTCCCTACTTGTAGAACTTCTAAACGTGTCTCCCGCCTTTTTCTTTTTTTTAGAAGCGGCACGTCGCCGGTTGCAGAAGTTGGAATATTTCACCACCATGACGGCTAAGAATTTCGCGTGTTAAGCGACGGCGGCGACATTTCCCGAACCACCAAAAGTGATTTCTGCATATTTAATCACCTGAGAACAAAGTCTCCGAAAACTAAGTAAACAATGCTCAAGCGTAGATGATGCCGACCAGTCATGCAGCTGTCCGCGAGCCATGGAGGGCATGCCGCGAGCAGACGAAAAGTGCACTGGTTGCCACCGACCCCAAGCTATTCCGCTGAAGTACCGGCTCTCCCCCGCCAGAATCCCGATGTGGAAACAGGTTGGGTTCATCCGTCCGCGAGCGGCGCGGACGAGTCGCGGACGAGGGGAATCGCTGATGTGAGGTCACGTGACGCGCCGTCCGTCCCGCCACATCGGGATTCGATCCGTCGTCTGAATGCACCATTCGGAAACCATCGTGGGTCAGCATCGCCGCTCGGTCGACGCAAGCTGTTGGTATACGTCCTTCATGGTACACTGGTATAGTTGCGCTTTTACGCTTTCGCTAGAAATAAATACTACTGGTTGAGTGACCAAGCGCATCAGCGTAAGTAATCGAAAAAAGAAAACCCTCAGGAAGAGGCATGCAGAGAATGACCAAAGGTGCGCTTACACCAAGCGTCTGACGCAATCTGGAGGCAATGGCCGAGCACAATGTGTCCCAGGCTGATGGTCCGTATTCCGTACAGGAAGCGCAGGGAGTAGTTGTCGGCGCTCGATCTTTCGGCAGCGTGGAACAATTCGCGAGTACTGGCCGCCGCTGAGAGCGCCTCCACAAGCTGAAGCAGCGTGCCTACAACAAAACGTGATGCATTCCTCTATTTATTACTCGCGTTGACGCTTACTGTCCAACCAATGCTGCCCTTTTTACAGCAAATGCTGTTAAGAGATCACAACTCGGGTCACGCGCAGTTGTTTGCCGCCGCCGGTGTCTGTAACCACATCGTGCGAAAAAAGAAAACTAGCACTAAAGACACAGTGGGGCTCGAAACCCGGGTCTGCTGATCTGCTGAAACCCGGGTCTGCTGGGTGCCAGTCCAGTATTCTACCACTGAGCTACGCCGGTGCTGTTGACTTGTCGGCAAATCTAGCACCAAAGGCACAGTGGGGCTCGCTAGGTGCCAGCCCAGTATCTACCACTGAGCTACGCAGGTGCTTGTGATTGGTGGCAAATTTGCTTTAGGCAATCTTGATGTCGGGAAAGCGATCGCGTTAATACGACTTATAAAGTGCTTTGAAGCAGCGAAAGAACAACCAGTCATCGCACAATGCGAATAGCGTAACGAGTGGGCCGAACAATGTCCAAACCCATTACAAAAGCTTGTTCTTGTTTCTCTATTATCTGTGGCGCATACCCACTTAAGCCATGATTGGGCACGGCGGCACCGGCGAAATGACGGTCACTAACCCGTTTGTCTTCATCGTGCAGTTGTCCATCGGTCTTCTTGCATCCGTGGGTGATGTACGTGCTATGCCAGCACGATTGCCCGGGTACGCGCCGGACACAAGCTTCGTCAACTTCCACGTGACGGAGATAACATGCCCGGCGCCTTGGGACTGCCAGCCCAGATCCGTGACCAGGACCACGTGTGAAGATCTACGTCACCAGCACCCAGCGCCGCCTCACAGTGCGCCTATAGTAGCCTGCCTCCTCGCAGTGCGTCCATTGGGCACGGCGGCACCGGCGAAATGACGGTCACTAACCCGTTTGTCTTCATCGTGCAGTTGTCCATCGGTCTTCTTGCATCCGTGGGTGATGTACGTGCTATGCCAGCACGATTGCCCGGGTACGCGCCGGACACAAGCTTCGTCAACTTCCACGTGACGGAGATAACATGCCCGGCGCCTTGGGACTGCCAGCCCAGATCCGTGACCAGGACCACGTGTGAGATCTACGTCACCAGCACCCAGCGCCGCCTCACAGTGCGCCTATAAGTAGCCTGCCTCCTCGCAGTGCGTCCATTGGGCACGGCGGCACCGGCGAAATGACGGTCACTAACCCGTTTGTCTTCATCGTGCAGGTAAGAAGACAATACGATTACTGTATACGTTCTGGTGACCCATTTTTGCTGGTGCTGCCGTGCCCTCGGCTTTGCTGTGCATTTGCGAGTGTGTTGCTATTTTTAAGAAAGCTTCTTTTGCTAGCAGGAGATATTGAAAGTAATCCGGGACCTGATCTAGCACAAATCGCAAAGCAGTTGAAGGAAGTTGCCGTCGATATCAAAGAAATTAAAGAGGGGCGGCTTGCTGATATGGATAAAAAGTTAGATGCCCTGTCGCGCCTTGAACCGAAGATAACTTCATGCGTAAAACAAATAGAAGACATGCATCTGATTACCAAAAATTTGGAAAAACGAATGGACGACCTGGAAAACCAGAGTAGAAGGTCCAATATTATAGTATACGGCTTAGCGGAAACAGAACAGGAGAACAGTGAAAAGTTAGAACAAGCTGTAAATAAAGGCATTGTTCAGGACATACTCGGCTTGAAGCCTGTGACCATAGAACGAATTCATCGTCTTGGAAAACCGGCCCAGAACAAAACGAGACCAGTAATGTTGAGGCTACTTGACTCTAGACAGAAATCAATAATATTGCGGGAGGGACGCAAGCTGAAAAATACGGGTCTCTCTATTGGGGAAGATTTCTGTAAGAGAACACGAGAGATAAGAAGGTTGCTGTGGAATAGCGCAAAGGCAAACCGGGAGCATCATGACAAAGTGTCTTTGTCATTGGACAAACTTTACATAAATGAACAAGTATTCACCTGGGATGAGGGCAAGGGGGAGAGGGTCCCGCTGAGAAAAAACGCCGAAGCAAAACGTCCAAACACGCGAAGCAAAACACAGCCGAGGAACTAACACTACTAAATGTAAACGCCAGAAGCATTTTAAATAAGACTGAAGCGTTTGAAAACCTACTCCTTGCACATAACCCTGATATAGTAGCGTTAACTGAGACGTGGCTTTCCCCGGCTATCTCAGATCACGAAATAGTGCCTCCAAATTATTGCATCATTCGAAAAGACCGACCGTCACGTGGTGGTGGTGTGGCGCTGTTGATAAAGAAATCCCTTCCATTCGTACAATTGCCAGATGTGAGGAAGCTGAGGCGGTGTTCTGCAGAATCATCTGCAACAGCACTGCCATAATTACAGGCTGCGTTTACCGAAGTCCTGACTCGAACGAAGATTGCGTAAGGAACATACATGAGTTTCTGCAGAACCACGCCCCAAGCCTAAGAATTATCATTATGGGGGACTTTAACTTACCAGACATTAATTGGAACACAAAGGAATATTCATCACATGCTTCCGAAGCGCTGATTGATCTGATGCTAAATTTTAGTCTAGAACAAGTAGTTAGCCAAACAACGCGCTCGCAAGGTACTGCAAACAACATACTTGACCTAATACTGATCAGTGATCACTTTCAACTAAATACATTGCAAACTGGCATTATTGAAGGAATATCCGACCACGATATCCCGATATGCCACCTACCATTATCATGTTCTATTTCGAAAAGGTCCTTTGAAAGCAAAATCATTGACTTTGAGAAATCGAACGACGCTGGCGTTTTGACGTCCCTGGCACATGAGTTCACATCATTTTCAGAATTTGCTTCTGATCCGTCGGCAGATATAAATGTCCTCTGGATAAAGTTTAAGGGAATACATGACTGCATTACCAAATTTATACCGTTAAAAACTAGGAAACCAAGAAAATACAGCCCATGGGTAACGCGCGAGGTTATACATGCCAAAAGGAAAGTTAAGAGGTTACGTCGTTCACTGAAGCATACAGAAAGTCAATCAGTCGTGAAATCTAAGCTGATAGGTGCCAAGCAAGAGCTGAAACAAAAGTTGAACCAGTCACGGAAACAATACTTTAATACAATCCTACCAGATTTCCTAAAAAATAATCCGCAGAGATTTTGGAATCACTTTCGTGCACGCAATACTTTGGCGCCAGAACGCACTCATGATGAAAATGCTGTCCAGGCTGATGTATTCAACAAGTACTTTCAATCTGTATTTACTACAGATAACGGGTTTCTTCCATCGGTCGTTTCTACAGGCTCCAGCATCGACCCACATCATATCTGACTCGGGAATCCTTAACCTTCTACTTGGATTAGATGCTAAAAAATCAAGCGGCCCTGACAATGTTCCAAATGAATTCCTGAAACGATACGCGGAATGGTGCAGCAGATACCTGGGTATTATCTATCGTTTTTCACTATCAACTGCACGTGTGCCAAATGACTGGAGGAAGGCAAAGGTGATACCAATTCATAAATCAGGTGACATAAACTCCCCGTCTAACTATCGACCCATATCCCTTACCAGTACATCATGCAAGATCCTAGAACATATCATTTTAAAAACTGACAGTATATCTTGAACAAAATCGCATATTAACACCCAGCCAGCACGGGTTTAGACGCGGAATGTCAACAGTGACGCAATTAACGGAAGTTGTTCATGACCTTGCACAGATAATTGACAATCGCGGCCAAGCAGACATTATATTCTTGGACTTTAGCAAAGCTTTTGATCGCGTGTGTCACAACAAGTTAATAGCAAAACTAGAGGCAATAATTGGCATCGGAAATATTTCTGCTTGGATTGGCGATTTTTATCCCAGCGTTCGCAATTCGTCCATTTCAATGAAGCATCATCCGACATTGTTCCCATCTCATCTGGTGTACCTCAGGGCTCGGTCTTGGGGCCCTTGCTGTTTTTAATTTATATTAATGACATCATCACTAACATGGAATGCAACATAAAGCTGTTCGCAGACGACTGCATTATCATAAAGAAATACTGTGTTACGAAGACCACCACACCCTGAACAGACAACTTAACGTGATAAACACATGGTGTGAACAATGGCAAATGTCTATTAATACCAGCAAATCTGTGTCAATGACGGTAACAAAAAAGAAGAACCCGTCAGAATTTACTTACTCACTTAATGACACTGAACTAACTAAAGTTTATGAACACAAATACCTAGGACTTACTCTAGCAACCGACCTCAAGTGGAACAAACACATTGCCAACATATCCTCAAAAGCTATCCGTAAGTTATTCTTTCTTAAAAGGTGCTTGAAGTCTGCTCCCACTCCTATCAAACTCCTCAGTTACACAACCTTTGTGCGGCCAGTACTAGAATATGCTAACACTGTTTGGTTCCCTCACAATATTACTAACGTAAATCAACTAGAAAAAGTTCAAAGAAAAGCGATACGGTTCATCCATAACAAATACAAACGTACTGACTCGCCCACTGAACTTCTAGCATCATCCGGTTTAGACACACTGGCAGGCAGAGCAAGACAAGCTCGGTTAAAATTCATGCATAGCCTTCTGCACAACCACTTCAACATAATTTCTTCCAAATATATCACCTTCTCTAGATCCCGGATATCGCGTAATAAACACGATAAAATGTTAACTGAATACTTTTGCAACTCCAACACGTTTAAATACTCATTTTTTCCTACAGCAGTTAGGGAGTGGAACAACCTCGACCCAACAGTAGCTGCCATAGAATCATCATCAATATTTTGTGACGCGATAGGAAATAAGCCCCAACCATGAAAAGGGAAAGGAAAAGGTTTCATATTCATGCAAATTCTTTTTTTAATGGTTTCTTGTTTCATTGGATTGTATTAACCTTGATTCTTCCGTTGTATATACTAATGTTGTATTAGAGAGAACACTTCTTTGTATGACATGCCATTGTACTGTGCACTGCGTGTATTCTGTTGCACTCACGTTGTTATCTGTATGCCCACCTGCTTTGGTCTCCAAGTGAGACTGGCAGTATTGAAAATAAATAAATAAATAAATAAATAAATAAAAAATAATAATTCCTCATCGTCGTCAGCCACTGCATGAACAATTGGCACAAAATTCATTGCAAGTGCTTAGCGGATACCACTTCTCAGAAGAATGATGAAAAATAGCATAGCGAATGCCAGCCTATGACCCTAACATTTTATTATTAATGTCGCAGTGGGCACCAAGCAAGTGTGCTTGACATATACCTAATTAGTGTTTAAAAAATGCTCTGAAAGGTCGCTTTTAGTTTTCGCTGTGACTGTGCTGCGCCTTTCGCGCAGGCCTGGAGTTTTTTTTTTTTTTTTTTTTTGCAGTACCTGTGAATTTGGTATTCAGCAGCGGTTGCACATTCAGGCACCGTTTGCAAAAAAAAAGCGCGCTTTTCAAACACAGTGAAGTAACAACTTGTACACAGTTAGTTCGCACTCAAATCTGTTCCTAGGATTATGTTTGTGCGTCATTTTTTAAAGAGTGCGTTAAGTATTGAGCTGTAAATGTTAGTTCGCTCTCGTCCTGTGTGTGTTATTTTCGTGCGTCATTGAGCGTGAGCAGCGCGCTGCAGGTTTAGATCTGCTTGCCGTTCTCAGCGTTACATTCCGAGCTTGTTGCTATCGCATTCATTGCTTTGCCCTTGCGGCGAAACTGTTGCTTTTCATCAATAACGACTTACCTGCCTAAATGGGTTTGCGCGAAAGTATTTGTTGATGAGCATGATTTTACATTGTGGTTTACTCAAGAATATTGCTGTCAATACAATCTAGATTACATTACGTCGCTTTTGTCGAAAAACCAAAATGCGGCTCCGTGACTTGACTTCGCAATTTTTCATCAATACAGAGTGGCATCTTCGTAGAGGACATGTTCAATTTTGCCATCGCTGTCCGCAGACACGAAAAAGTAGTGATTACCACGCGATAATTGTGCGTGACAGTCTTTCGGTCCTTCCGCCCGGTTCTTGGCCGATCCCCCTTGTGGGTGTGCGCCAGGGTAACAAAGATCATCATCATCATGATCATCATCATGATCATCATCATCGTCATCATCATCTTTGGTGCGCTCAGGCATGAGTCCCCGCATAGCCTCCAAAATACATCTGATGCTAATTGGAACAATTCCTCATACATACTACCACCCTTCTCGCTGTAGTTTGGCTTGGCTTTTGTGATAATGTCAATGATCGTGGCGCCGGCTATAATTATGCCTAGGAAGGCTAGGAATGCGCTGTGAGACAAAAGGACAAAAAAATGCACTTGTAAATTAAGCGGGAGTAATCTCTTTATTTGTTGCTTATAATCTACGCACATGCACACGTGTAACAGCAGAGCTGCTCGTCTATCCCTCTCTCTCTTTCTCTCCCACACAAACTCAAAACCATCGTACGTCGGGCTTGATTGTAAATGTGAATAAGAGCCAATAAAGAATCATGTACATATTAACGATGTCGTTTTGCGAGTGGTATAGAGAGGGCATACGACCTGAATGCTTTGTGAATTTGGCACCTGTCCTGATACAGATGAGGCAGTGTTGCAGGATACGATTGCTGTTCAACATTCCTGTTTTATAAAAGGCGGCAATACTGACTCCATGCATCCATAATTAGCAGGAATTTATTCATTCAAATTTTCTCATCTGGCGCAACTTTACACCATTTTATTTATTTATTTACATATTTATCATTGGAACTGTCATTTAATTAACTTCCATTTTTTGACGATGTTATCGATGTTTACGAGAAGTATTCGCCGTGAGATCGGGCTATAGGGGGCAGCACCGTCACAGTGCTAGTGTGGATAGGCGGCTGGCGGCACACATCCCAATGCATGAAACAGCGCGTTTCCTGAGCGCTGTGAGCCGATTGCCGGTGAATAAAATGCGTTCACTGCTGCCCGGTCGTAATAAATATGCCTTTCATTTCCTAACGGATGCACGAAGTTCACCGAACGTTACTTTTACTTGTGACAGAAACGCAGTCTGTCATTAAAAGGGATGCTCGCGCTTGGCGACTGTTTGCACTTTCGCACTGCAGCGTGTCACGTTTCTTGCATTTTTATTTTAGGTGTTGAGCTTGTGTCCCGTCTACTATGCTCTGCTGAGTGACTGAATTTATTCTTCATAAAGGCTGGTCATGAATTCCGACCCCCTCCTCCCCCCCCCCAAGAATAAGTTAGAAATTCGATATTTTTGAGTGATGAACCCAAAAATACAGAGATTACTCATTCCACCTTTTCGTCTTAATCATGTCTTCATGGAAGAAATGTAGGAGAGTCGATAAGTTTATTCAGGAAAACTACGTGACTTAGAGCACCTAAGCGCGCTTGTTCTTACTCCTGTAACAGTATAAAAAGATAATAGTTCAGCCCGCAGCTTTCTTATATTTATTATCTGCATCAAAGTGATGGAAAGGTTCGATTAATAGGTGGAACGAATTTTTTTTCTTCAAGCGAATGTGTGTCCATCCTTCCGTGTGTCTAGCACAACGCCACAAAAGCGCTCAAGATAGTGCGAAAAAAAACGGAAAAATGTGACGTTATCCTTGAAATTATACGACATATATGAAGCGCACCGTCTGAATTATTTGACAATCTGGCTCTTTTAAGCGATCCCAAATTAAGACCAAGGGTGCGACAATTGGGAACTCCAACCAAAAATTGTATTACAGCACTTGAGTCAGCACTTGGTCTGGCTTCGAAACATTGGTTTTCTGAATACAATTTTTGCTTAGAGTTTTCTAATTTTCTAATTTCCATTCCAACCAGGCAAACTTCTGCCAAGTGTTCACCTTGTTAAGAACACGGGTGTGTCTGTATAAATATATCACCCAATGCTAAAGTTGTGCATGGCAACTCAAGTTTCATCAGTTCCGTGTCATTCAGTTGAAATACCGAAGTGTCAGAATTTACTATACAGCAGTGTCATAGGACTAGACCCGTACAAAAAAGGTTATCTCAAGAACAACTAAAGCTCGTCGCATAATTAAACAATAAGAAAGAACGCCAGAATTTTTTTTGAAAGTAGACCCCTAACAACAATGTAAAACTTCCGTTTATCCCCGAGTCGCTAAAACGCTGCATTCCCAAAATATTTATTATTCCTCATGTTTGGGGCAACGCCAAGTGCACTTTACGATGGGCTTCAGCTAAAAAGCGGCACCTACACCGACATGAACCTGGTGAAGAGAGGCTACGACGATGATACACATCACTCTCGCCAAGTGTTTGACCTCATATTATTGCGATACATATACAGGCGAGTAATCTAGGCCAAATGCTTCTGTAGGCAGTGCTTGGCGAACGTACAAGCAGTTACTCATGCGCTGACAGAGTGGGACAAAGCTCCCCTTGAGCACGAGCATTACCTACGTGCTCGTGCTAGCCTATGTGGATAGCAGAAGACGCCGGAAGCAATTCACACTAGGTGCGCTTCAGCCAGTGGCCACCAGGCGGCGACTCCGCTTGATCTAGGGGCGAACAGCACAACTCTTTCTATGCGCCTCTCCTCTACCGTTTTCTTTTTGTGCGTCCTTGTGGCTCCCTCACTGAATTGGTCTGCTTGGTTTCAACGTTTTTACAGTAGCTCAGCTAACGACGCACTTTCTTGAGCGTACGAGCGTGCGTGCGTGCGCGCGGCGCGGGTGTGTGTGTGTGTGTGTGTGTGTGTGTGTGTGTGTGGTGTGTGTGTGTGTGTGTGTCAGAAGTTAACTTTGTGTACAATATCCTCGAGTATTTGTCACCAAATACGTTCTCAAGATGAACTTACACAAGTCCGATTTGCAATGAGGTCCATGGTTCGGGCTCCGATGTAACGCAGTTTGACACCAGAATATCTACCATAGGAGGTTTCACTGAAGAAAAAAAATGAAGGTACATTACCGGAATTTTCAACGACACTGTGAGCATCAACTTCTACGCGCAACCGTTACCTATAGATGAAATGCATGATAGAGTCTCAGGACGCCTTGACATGTACTTGTCCACAGAACTATATGTCATCTTTTAGCTAACAGACCATGCACCCGACTTGCAGTGAGCGCGAATGTCTGTGAGTGTTATGTTTGACACAGATTAATATGACAGAGTGATTCCTTCGTTGGCCAACTGCGTCGGTTTGTGTCAAAATTAAGAGAAAGTTACACAGGCAATGAACACATCACCGCATAACGGAGTTGAGCAGGCTGAGCCGCCAACCGGTGACATCGGCTCTGTACTTCACACAGCACGCTGTCATAGCGAAACCTCCCCATTATTGGCGAGCCATCTACGAGCCTTGTAAATGTCGGTTTCAAAACGATGTTAACGATCGTGCAGAAGAAATGGCCGGACGGCCAAACGCTCTATGCCATTGGCCATCATCACTTAAGTGAAGGTGGTCCATGACAAAAATATTGCGTTCATATATATTCCCCAGACTGTCGTTTTCATTGTCTGTTTTCCCACATGTTAAGAGAGTGTGCGCGAAACTTGTGTTTGCAGAAATATTTGCGTTTTTGTGTAATAATTACTTTCCACTCTTTTTATTATCTTTTTTTTTAAATCTCCCATTTCTCTTTTCCACGTGTAGCGTATTAAATCGGTTATCCTGGACTAGTTAACCTTCTTGTCTTCCCCTTTCTACCATTTTTTTTCTTTTACAAAGTGCAAATCACGCATACGCTGCATGATGAGTATCCATACACGTACTGATAGGAAGTGCTCGTATAAGAAAAAGCTTTTCATAGTGAAGTCACCTGTGTCCGCTAGTGCTTGCAAATCAGCTGCGTTGCAGTCGTCCAGGAAGCATAGCCCTATGCGAATAAGTGGCGTTTCCTGACCCTCAAATAATCCCATGTACTCGAGAAGCTGAAACAGACAAAAAAGCGTTTTGATCGCTCATGGCCACAATGACGAAATATTCAATAAAGGGATATGGCACGTGTCGTATATACGTCCATTGAGCTGGCGCGAGGCCAAATAAACACACACACACACACACACACACAACACACACACACACACACACACACACACACACACACACACACACACACACACACACACACACACACACACACACACACACACACACACACACACACACACACAACACACACACACACACACAGCTTTCCAATGCCCATCAAGTGCTGCTACATGATACCTCTGTTTAAAGTATACAATATTTTAGAAAAAACTTGGGGGAAGTCGCCTGCTATGGTGGTGTATGGGCAGTGGTACTCGACTGCCGAACCACTGGTCGCGAAATCGAATCCCGGCCGCGGCGGCCTCATTTTCGATGGAGGCGGAAATGCTGTAGCCCCGTGTGCTCAGATTTGGGTGCACGTTAAAGAACGCCAGGTAGTCGAAATTTCCGGAGCCCTCCACTACGGCGTCTCTCATAATCGTATCGTGGTCCAATCATTATAGGTGGTATCCACCTCCGAGCAACCCTGCGCTCCCGTAGCTAACGCCTCAGCATATCCGCACAGCATGTGGGTAATGCGGAGAAGGTAGTACTTCCGACCGCCATGACTAGGGCCATTGTGTGTGCCTCTGCGTGCTACTAAAATTGAGCCCCCCTCCCCCCCCCACCTTTTTTCTTTTGGGCCGACCATTCGTTATCACGTTTGATTGTGCCTTATTTGTGTGCAGCCGTCGCACAAAATGGAAGAGTGAAGAGTCTCAGAACGCAAAGCCGGCCAAATTTTAATCGTCGCCGAACGTTATTTACGGTCAATGTAGTCGTACACTGGAGCTCACGGCGACGCGTCATGACGAATGATTCAGCCGTCTTTGCCAGGCTGATTTTCACAAGGCTGGCTGTGGGGTGAGCGCCGGAGAGTGGTTCACCTGTGAATAGAAACTCGGTTGAGTTCATATTCTGACAGCCTTGGCTAATTCAGACGCTAACGAAACATAAATATAAAGGAATCACAATAACACAATAAATGCAGTCAGTTTCAACGCACTGACAGAGACATGCGAAAAGCACGACACAGACGTTGGACTATTCATATTAATATATGCGTGGTACACCGCGAGCTTAAATGAGAGGCACACGCTTTTGTTTTTCTCGCTAAAGTGAACTAGATCAGTTTATTTGCATCAAAGCACACTTGTAAGCTTGGCCTAGTGAATCATTTTACGCTTCAGATACTTTTCATTCGATTGATCAAACTGGTGGGTGAGCCAACTGTATACTTATAAATTTCGTAAGCGCTGTTAAGCCCGCAGTTTCAACTGGATTCGTATAACATCGCACTAGTATCAAATTAATGGGTAAACTCAACTTTGGCGCTTACGAAAAATTGTACCTTCAAATTATCTTACTTTTGCGTGCACAACGGCGCATTCACCGTGACTCTTCAGCGAGGGTTCGTCGACAAACCCACTAGTCAAGCATCCGAAGATTTCTTGTCTTTTAATAATAGTTCGTTGATTGATTTGTGGGGTTTAACGTCCCAAAACCACCATATGATTATGAGAGACGCCGTAGTGGAGGACTCGGTAAATTTTGACCACCTGGTAATAATAGTTCGTGCGTCACAAAACTTGTAGTATGCACCAAGTTGTCCTCTATGTCTCAAAGTGCCACCTTCGGGATGAGTCTAATGTGAAATGCAACTTCCCCGCTCGTCAGAATGAGTGGGTCAACGCTCACTGCAGAGAGCCACTTTGTTCGTGTATTGCTGTTTAGCATCGGCGTCAAATTTCACGCAGTACACGCTCAAGCGAGCCGAGCACGCATCGTCCATGGCTGCAGCAGCTTCACAAATGGTAAATCTCGTACCTTCTAAAGCTAACGAAGATTAGAAAACCACCAGGCCGGCGCGGAACGCGTAGCACTGTCACAGCGAAAGCTGGAGGAGCGGCCTTTCAGAGCCTCGTTAAAGCCCTGTACATGTTTCTCTCGAGTGTCGCTACTATTTGAAGTTTCAGGGGCTCTAGGTCAAAGGTCATCGCAGCGCCCCCACCTCCTAATATGTAATTGTGGGACAGCCTTTGAGCCCTCATTGACTAAAACACTAGGGACCTGCCCACCCCAGCATGTCCCCACCCCTTGCACATGCCTACAGCCATTACCCTCGATACCGACGTCTTTTTTTAATTAATGACGGAGCTTCTCATACATTTGACTGTCTTTTATTTGCTGGAAAAATTACAATATTTATCCGCGGAAGAGAAAACAAATAATACAGGCTAAATAGTCTGACAAGCTAAGCCTTCGCCTCCTCAAAAAGTCCCGATTCGCCTTTCCAAACACTTTGACGCCGGTTCACGTTCTCCTTCATCTTCAGCTTCGCTACCCAAACACGGGCATCTGGCAGACCTCATGCGCTGTGCATGCGTGCCGACTTGTCCAGCGTGAGATGTAGTAACAGGGATGTTCGGTATTACCAGCACAGAGCGGAAAAAAGATATAGAAACATAGAGACCTTGACTGAAAAGCTAGAGAGAAAGAAAAGAGAAAGAGATACAAATAAAGACACATAGAAATATATAAGTACCAGACATAATAGAGAGTCAGACAGGCAGGGAGAGAGAAACGAAGAAAGTGGAAACACAAATTAGAGAAATAAAAAACGACAGAAAGAGTTAAAATTATAGGTATAAAGAAAATGAAATAATATACAGAAACAGAGACAAAGAAGGAACAAAAAAAACGGAGCAAAAGAGAAAAATAAAGAGGATCAAATAAGGCCGCC